GCTTTTAACACGGTTGTTCCAACTGGATAAGGGAACACCCCCCAGGAGTCTCGCGGTATCCGCGTGAAATCCTTCCAATCTCCGTGCAAGCGACGTCATAGCCAGCGAGAGTGCCTAATAAAGCTCGCAGGAGATTACAAAACGTCTTAATAAACCATTAGATCCGCGACACGGGCCATTATTCTTGCATTACACGTATCCGTGGCGCGGATGCGACCGCTTAATGGAGTGCGGGGCCGGATTTTACACGGGAGACGTATCGCGCGAACTTAATGCCGACTTCAGTCAACACGCGCGGCTTATCCCGACAGGCTTAGCCCCGCTGATTCCGCGTCGTGAGACGCCTTGTTCGCTGTCACCCGATCTCGTCTAACGGTTTCCTCGGTTGGTAGAGCTTGTTACGTACCGCGGGACATGTTCGCCACCTCGGAGTACGGCTGAGACTACTGGAATAATTTTACGCTCGAATATTTCGTAGGCACTCCAATACCGCGAATAAACTTTCTGCATTACTGTACTCGAAGGTAGTATTCGAGTATCGATACTGGAACATTTAGATGTCAGTAGGTGCATTCGAATACCATGACTTGAATAGCATAATTCCAGTATAACTATTCGAATACCACGGTTCGAACATGTGTATTTCAACACCATGATTCAAGCGGAACTATTCCAAGACCATTACTCAACTACAAATGTTACAATTTTCCCATTCGGATACCGCGAATTTCTCTTAAAACTTCGTTTCTTTAAATATTTTATTACCAGCCCACCGTAACCCACCAACCCAGCTCCATCGACTGAATCATTCATAGTACAAATGAAGTAAGTCTCAAAATAGCATACGATAAAACGATAAGAACGAATTAAACAATTCTTATCGCGTTATAACGTAACGTTTGAAGACTCATGCAACCAAGTTGAAAATTTGATTTTCCAGTGGATTTTGAAGCGGGGTCGGTTCCGTGACACGGAGATTCGCGTGTACGTAATAACGGGTCGCTTTAGTCACGATACAAAGCTACATCGAGCAGAGACCGCGATAACGCTCGGTAAGTTAAAATGCGATTTTTACACATCCGGTCCTGTGTCCGTTGGACGAACGTTGCAACAAGTTTCCGAGGAAGGGCTCGCGGTTGCTGAACTTTGAATCGAGATTTCCTGATCTCGTTGCATGATTTTACGCGCGGCGCACGATAGGTTCGTGCGATAATTTTATAGTAATTTCTCATTTTTATTGTGTTATTAACCTGGTGAATTCTCAGTTTTCGAATATTTGAGCACTTCTGTTATTTGAGTATTCGACCACTCGATGAATATAATTCGAATACTTGACTACTCAATTATCATTCGATTTACTCGACTACTCGATACTCCCGTCTTGATGAAGAAAAACGAGTATAACATTCGTTAAACTGTTCTCAAGTACGAGGGACGACATTCTAAAATGGACTCTCCTGGATAAAGCACTGCGATGCAAGTTGCCGTGTTATTTATTAACGGCCCGTGTAATAATAGCTCGGAGTTAAGTACGTTTTTATATGCACCTTGCTCTGCATAACACATGTAACACTGCGTACGACATTAACGTCTTGGGACTCGTTTTGCTTTGCCACGTAGCAGTTCTCAGATTAATATTACACCTGCACGACACACATGCACTTTCCCTGTATAATCTTACGCGACGCCTGCCATTTGATTTTTCCATTTTGTTATTAATTACTCCATCGCATTTCGACATAAAAACACGTACAGCATGTACGCACCAGGTAATTCCGAGTTAAAATATGACGAACATATTTCAAGCAACAACTCGACTTATTTCTTCATATTTGTCATCGATTTTCGATAACCCCTGAGGGAACATCCGGTGTGTATTAACAACCTACATGGTGACATTTCTGACTGCTGTATATTTTTAGAAAGACGCGAATATAATTCTTTTCTGAACCCTACACTTTCATTCCAGGAAGTGTGTATGTATATTTTATAGCACGCCATAACACCTCACAACTTGTTTCAAAATTGATCGTACGCAGCCACTTCAAGACACTGCTGGAAGCGATTTTCAATGTTTCGCGTCTAAACATTAGACACTTATCTAAGCAAACACGGATCTCAGACGGTCTTAGTGACTCTTCAATTGTTTAGAAAACACAGACAGCGAGAGGTGCGAGAAGCTTTCGGCGTTGCTTATGTTACGTGCACTGTGTACTCAAGAGAGATCAGAATATATGTAGTTTGCGATAGCGGTGGTGCGTCTAAAACGTACAGAGTGGTTCTAATTCTATGTTCACTTTTTGAAATCCTGTGAATAATGAAATTTTCAAGGGAAAGTTCTGTCTTAGAATTTTCGAAACCACTACGTTCCTTTTCAATTTATTCAAGAAGAAGAAAAGTTTATGTTGACACTAAAAAAATATTGTTTGTATCAGAAAATCATGCCGAATGAATAGTAAAATTCCGGAACAAATCGATCATACCGTGAACGCAGAATAAATTTCAAAAAAGTATACGTTCTAAAAGCAACGAAAAGGTAAATGAGCGGAGCACCGTTCAGAATTCAATGAAGAAATCTGACGGCGCTCTTTTCGCCGACAATACTTTTTCAGTGCGTTCTCGAGGCTCTTTGGCCCGACAACAGGTAGCTCGGAATTCCGACAGACTTAATTGCTCGTATTAATAACGCTCGGATGGGCTCGTGCTCCGTTCGAACGGGAGTGGATACCCAAAATTCGCGCCGAAAAACTTGGCCGTTCCGGTCACGAGCAAGGGTTAATTAAACAAGGAAGAGCTTGCGTTCCCCGCTCGGGCGGCGCGAGCCCTCCAATTAGTAACAAACAACGTGACCAATGAGAACGATAAACTTTCGTCGTTCGATCGACCACGAGTAAATTCTATTTTTCCGAACGAACCGTTTTCGCAGTTCCCTCGAGCCAGCTCGATCCGATTTCAACGAGAACTGACAGACTGAAAAAAGTTAAAATATTATTTGATTCGTGAAAATAGAAGAAACAGAAATATACCTTCACAAAGTTTTAATAGTCCATTCATTAAAATCATTAATTGCTCTGTGAATTAGGATATCATCAAGATATATTTTGTTTCTTTCATCAGGATTAATTCCTCGCTCGAAAAGGCGTCGAAAAGTCTTTTATCGTTTCGCAATCAGAAGCTTCGTTGTCGAGATACGTGACACAAAGTGCGCGCCATTTTTGTTACAATCAGCTGATCGCGTGGTTGCGCATGCTTGTATCTCGATAAAGAAATCTCGGATCGTAAATCGGAGAAAGACTTTTAGATTCATATTTACACTGGGTATCGATATTTAAGAGGTTTCCACTTACAATAACGATTTTAATGTACGTAAAGCTTTTCTTTTTACCAAAAACAATTCTAAATGGTCCAAACATGCTCCGAATGAAATGCCCAAGAATTCGTCCATCGATCAAGTATCCATCGCGATGACCGGAATATTTAAGAAAATAAAAACGCGAAGATCGAGAGGAACGAAAAATTGATTCGGGAGGAAAGGAAAACGCCGTGATGTTTTACGAGTCAGCTCGATGGACCGAAGTGTTGAGCATAGAAATCCAATCTTGCACGCCGTTTCGTAGAGGCCAACGTAAGCTGGTTTCGAGGGGTTCAGGATAAGGGTGGGTTTCGCCGCTGCATAAAAGGCAACCGTCCGATACTCCCACACTCCCTACCTCCTATCGCCACCCTCCTCACGTGACCGCTAAAGGATACGCCGTCGAGATACTCCGACTGGGAATTTGGTGTATAGGACACTGGCTTTTAGGCTACCTACGTGATCATCTTCATGTTTGCGACCGAACAGAGACGAAATACAGCGAAATACCATCAAAATAAGCAATCCTGAAGACCTCCAGAACTTCTCGAATTCGGAGGATTCAAATATCAGTACTTCAGTTAAAGTTTACGTAGATATCTCAGGTTCCTTCAAATTATCAAGCGATGACTTAACTGTCTTTTGTTATTGGTTCATTTCTAGTGGTTCAAGTTTCGCCTCTGAAAGTTAAATATTCTCTACTTCCATTTGAATTACAGAATAATGAAGGCTTCAAGAACGAATTTCCGATTGAAGTAGGAAATGGAGGACTACGAGACGATCGCCCCCCAGATAAATGTTTCAAATTAACGTTCAAGTGTATCTCACATTCAAAAAGGCCTCGAATGAATTAACTTTGCGCAAACATCAACCAAAGAAGTGACACGAAGATCACTGCCCGATCTCGCCACTTTGTCTTCGCGAACTTTATACTTCGAGACAACGAAAGGAATCCAACTTAATGCGATGCATTCGAATCCGAAACCCACTTTGTCGTTTCGAACAATGAATTCACCTTCGATGAGTAATTTACTGTTAAATCAATTCAACCTCGGTGTTAAGCTGTCGATTAGCTCGAGTCACATCTGTTGTGATTATGTGTGAACATCAGTTGCGATTTCAGTAACTCGCCAGGATTTTATCAACAATTCCATTATTAACCGACCAAATTACATATAAAAATTCATGCACTCTCTTCGTGAGTATTTTAATCGAAAAAAAATTACCGTATGATCCACTGCGTACTCTTCCAAAAAAAAAAAAACTTCCGAACATCGCCCATTTTTCTATCCAAGATTTTTCTACTCAAATCTGAAATGTGAACCGGTAATGTGTCATTCGCGACAGCGACGCTGCAATGCAGCCAGTCTCGAGGAAATAATTAACTCCCGTATTGGGCTCCTCCTGGTTCCGGTGTGGGCGAGCAAATTGTATTTTAAACATTAACCTGTTCCCCCCGGAGCGAGCGGCAGTGTTAAGTATCATCGCGTGTTGTCGACCCTGGCGAGCCCCCATTAAACGTCGCATCGGGCGGCCATATTTTCCCGTCCCGTTTCCATCAAAACTTCGATCGTTTACAGAAATTAGATAGAGTCGCAGCCTCGTCGGCCGCCATAAAGGCTGCTCCCAGATCTCCCGAAGGACTCACCTTGCACTTGGGGTACTCCTCCTCCGGAGTGGGTCTTTTCCAACCCAATAGCGGCGGGATGCACACCAGAGCCGAGAGCAACCACACCAGAGCGATCATCAGCGCGGCTCTGGCTGGCGTCCTCTTCTTTAGGTACTCCACTGCGTGAGTGATGCTCCAGAATCTGTCGAGGCTGATCAGGCACAGGTTCATGATGCTGGCGGTGCACAGTAACACGTCCATGGCCGAGTAAATGTCGCACCACCAGTAGCCGAAGATCCAATAGCCCATGATCTCGTTTGCCAAGGAGAACGGCATGATCACCAAACCTAGGAAGAAATCCGCCACCGCTAGACTGGCGATGAACCAGTTCTGTATGCTTTTCAACGCCTTCTCGGTGGCGATAGCGATTATCACCAGCATGTTACCAACGACGATCACGATCATAAGCAGCGTCGCTATAATCGACGCGAGCACTATGTGCGGCATGGTGTAGCCCGAGGGGTACATGCTCTCGCCGTAGATAACGTACGTGGACGTGTCGTTGCTCAGGCTACTGTTCCACCCCAATGGCAGGCTGTCGTTGAACGAGTCGTTGTACGGTCCGATGTCCTCCATGATCCCGCCCAAACCGAACAGCAGCTCCAGCTCTCTGAGCCCTGCCGCGTCCTCTTTCTCGACGCCGATGGTGCTGTTCAGACCAGCGGTGCTCCCCTCGCCGCTCCCCGTCACGTCCAGCTCGTCCGTCTCGTCAGCGACGAGGAACGGCGATCCCGACGTGCTGTCCCCGCCGACGTATTGTCCCCCGGTGTACGATCTGACGCACGCACAGTCCGTCCTCGTCGTTCCTTCCTTGCCCTGAACGCCGACCTCTTGTACCGTTGTGGTGTTCACCCTGGCGTCGACGACGAGTCCTCCGTCGACGTCGGGTCCTCCGTCGATGTCGAGTCCTCCGTCGACGTCGGGATTCCCTGTTCGAGGATGCTGCTCGTCGCTCGGGATCGCGCGGCTCGAGTGGGCCTCGTTAACAGAAGACGTAGTGCCACCTGTTGGTCGAGGCCACGTCATGTTCTCCTCGAAGACGCTGGTGGACGCCGTGGTCGAACTACCGGCGTCGATGGTCATAATGCTGCCGAGGAGCGGCATCACTCGCACCCTCGCCGTCGACTGTTGATGCTATCTCGACGAAGTCGTGGTGGACGCGACGGCCGCGCGCGAGTAGCAGCGTGCACCGGGTGCCAGCTCGAGTAGCAGCAGCAGCAGGATGGTGGTGGTCTCGTCGCATCTCGAGGCCAGAGGCGTCATGCCCGTTTCAGGATGATGGCATCGTCGGCGTAATGGACAGTGTCGTGCTGCTGGTGTCTACGCTTCGACGACCTCCCCAGTTGAATGGGGATGGATGGCGATTACCCTTTATTCTGGTCACTGAACGAATTCAACGTACCCTGACCGAGGGGTCGCTTCTGCGTCGAACCGAATCTTCTAGGTGCCTCTGAGTCGAGTCTCCGGCGTTCGGTTGCGACGTTTGCTCTTGATTTATTGCTTGCGTTAGTCGCAACTACCTGCTCGTGCTTCCGGTGGCCCCACCGGTCCCACGATGACGGAGTTAATACGGAAAGAGCGTACAGAGAGATTTGAGGATAGTCCGCCGGCTGGATTAAGAAGACAAAGGTGGATGGAGGGAAACAGCGCGGGAACGAGAGAGACAACGACGGACGAGATGAAAAAGAAGGAAGAGATTGCGAACGAACGTGAAAAATTGGTCCCCCTTTTTTTTTTACCTTCCTCTTAGATTAAAAATCCGGACTCGAATGCCCTCCTACGAGGTGCGAATTCGAGCTCCCGCGGCGACCGGCGCACGATTTTATCTAACGAATCGGCCTTGAGCTGATCGTGGAGCTCGTCGACCCGAGATCCTCGCGACGGAAACGCGTCACGCTTCCACCCAACGCGACCCGGTCGAGTGTTCGACGACCGACTTCTTCCCCTAGGAGTGTTTCTACGCGCGGCTCGACGGTGCTTTCGCTCCGCGAGCTAATTAATTATCGCGCCGCTGCTAAAAAAGGCTAAGCGCTGGATACCCGTACTGCTCCGACTTGCATTTGCGAATTGTATTCTTATTACATTATTTATTTATTTTTTAAATATTTTATTGGTTTTTTTTTTTTTTAAATACTTATCTTCGTTAACCCGAAAGAGAACAGAGAATCGAGAGATTTAGTAGATCCTAGCCTTACGATTTATACACATTTATACACACCGCGCTCGTTCCACCGTTGCACAGTTCGGTGCGCAGCTAACCTCGAACAACTTACGACTTATTACTTATTCCGTACTTACAGGAGTAACTGGAGAAATGGAGAAGGAGCGACGGAGAGGGAGATAGACGAAAAAAGGGGAGACCAAACGCGAAGACACGTCCTCCGTGCGGAGTCGCGGGACCCTTATGTACACCTATTTACACGCTCGAGACTCGCCGACGCACGCCCCTGAACCCTCCACCGGTTTGTCCTTTAACCCTCGCTCATTCGACACCGAGGATCAACAGGATGCACACACCATCCGCTCGCGGAACTCAGAGTCCTCGGACACCTAAACGTGGCAGCGTCAGCTGATCACCGATCGAGGAAAAGTCTCTCTCAGGCGATTATTCTCGGCGCCTTCGGGATCCTTCGTGGTCCTTTCGTTGACCTATCCACGCGGTGAAGTCGGCCAAGATCCCAGTCGGTCACGCTGCTAGCTTCTCCGTCGAGCTTGGCACCCTCGATGTCTCTTCGTTCGACGCATTTCCCATCGAACGCGTTGTACCCCCTGTCGCTCTGTCACCACAGTCACCCTCGAGTCACCTGATACACTCGACACCCATCCAAATCTCACAGCATCCTCTTCAGGCTCGGCACACGGCGTCTCTTCTCCGGAGCGATGGACCGCAGATTGTCAGCCGCACGGAACCGTCTACGCGTCACGAGGCCCTCGAGAGTGGCACGCACGATCCTCGCGGGGAGCACACGCGCGGAAAAGCTCGCCAGCGCGTACTTCGCAGAGGGTAGGCCTCGGTGAATCACGCACGTCAGCGGACCATCGAGAGGTGTCCTGTTCCCAGGGTCGGGCGAGATTCCCGATTTTTCCAGTTATCGAGGCGGGTGACGACCTCCGCGACGCGCGCCCTCAGGATGGACTGGACCCTGTCGGTCCTCGTGGCCCTTGCAAACAGGCGATACGTGCGTGCGTGCGTGCCGGACACTTCGAGGTTGTCTCGTGGATGTTTGGGAACGCACTGCAGCCGCGAGGGACGAGCCAGGAACTCGGACTCCCTCTCGTGCCGTTCGACGGATAGAGACTCTCGCAGGATGTCGGCGAGCGCGCGACGAAGAAAGGAGAGACGCCGTGCATGTGCGCGTACAACTCCGCGCACACACACGCACACGACCACACCAAAACGGATCCTAACGGAGGAGAACACGCGCGCGCGCACTTGAGGGGAGGGGGGGGTGCGCACGGTGCGCGCGTACGCCGCGAGGGAGGGAGCGAGAGGGAGAGAGAGAACTGGTGGCTCAACTGGAGGCTGACTGGTGGCCCGACCGACCGCTCCGTCCGACGGTACCAGCGTCGGGGCGCCGTCTGACGGAGTCGCGGAACCCGCGGCGCAAGAGTCGAGACGCCGCCAGCACCCGACCGCCACGGCCTGACAGTCGACTTTGGACCATCGACCGATCGGTCCGTTGGCGAAAAAATCCGCTGCATATTCTTCGATGTCCTCCCGCTTATTGTCTCTCCGTCAACGTCCTCGCCCTTCGGTTGCCCATCCGCGTTTCGTGGCTTTTGCCAGTGGTATTTCGTTTGGTCGTTCCTCCGTGGTGAAGAGGCTTGGAAGTTTGACGAACTTCAATCTCGAAGTGGTCCTTGCGTGTTTTTCGAGGGGGGAACGCAGTGGCATCAGGTCTGTCGGTAGATATCTTATAGACGCTCCGAATGTTTGTGCGGTTGAATGTTCTTCTTAGTGCCCCAGACTGCTGGCGAATAGCTTCTAGTGTGGGATAGTTGACAGGCATCGTGACGCATGCTTTTAGGTATTGGAGTTCAGGAATAGACTTGTGTAGCTGTCGATGGACTCCCTGTTCTCTGAAACTTGTTTATAGTTAGGTCTGCGCTTCCTGTTTGACTTATATCCATGGTAACTACTTAAACTTAGCTTGTCCTCGACGCATCAAGTGATTGCCAGCTACCTGAATATTTCTTTTGCCTAGCCGATAGGCTATGACGCAGAAGTGGATCTTGCAGATTGAGCTATTCAACAGTTGGTAGCATTCTCCTTGCCAGCCTGTCATTTATAGCCGTACACTAGGTTATTGTTGGGATTGCTCTAAGATTCACAACCTCTGTTCGGCACTTCTAAGCAATTTCACCACGTGCAGGAACTAGTATACCTGACCTACGCAACAGTTGGTAGATTCGTTCACTATAATGTTCCACTTGACTACCAACTACACGAACCTGTCCTTTAGCGAGCCACACAATAGGACTTGATGAGGAACTAACCCGTAACCAGTTTGAGCTTCCCAGTAGGTTGTATTCTCATAGATTCTGTAGGTAGTTATAGTCGGGCTAACAATAGTCAAATGCTGATGCAACTCCAACACAATCTTCATTTGTTACATTGTGCCAATTAGGTCAAATGTTGGAGTAGATTTCGTGATGCATGCAACAGATTGAACATTCCACTAAGATTAATGTTCCCAATGATATCCAACCGTACGAATCTTTCTTTCGACCAACTCAATGGACCGTGATGACTAAGTGGACCTAAGGAACCAAGGCAGCCAGTTGTTGATGGATGCTTTCTTCTTGAGCACGAGATGCCAAACGATTGTTCTCTGCAATTCATCACGCGGTAGTAAATGGTTCTTAAAGCTCCATGAATCATAAACACCATTTGTTACCGTTGGACAGTTGGTCCAGATTCTGGAAGTAGAATGAGGCGATACCTATGCAACAGTTGGTAGATCCCTCTTCTCCCAAATCTACCGAAATTACAAACTATTGGTTATCGAAATAGATTGGTTAGATGGACAATTGGGTGCAGTCTGCCAACTCGAATATATATGCAGCAGTTGGCAGATTCATTGTTCATCAATTATGAACTTCCTGGCTACCTGTATCATCCCTTTTATGAATCATCAATTTTAATGTGGTTGGACATTGACTTGTGCTTAACCAACTGATCCATTTAACAGTTGATACGTGTACCTTTGTGTGACTACTAAATGACTATTACATACGTTTAATCTTGTCTAAGTTGTAGACTTTAATTTAACCAACTGATGTATCCACCAGTTGGTTCATTCTTCTTCCCTACCCCCTTTTAACACTACCCAACTAATTACACTTTATCTCACCAAACTAGTAAACTCGAGCTAACCTATTATTCCATACAACAGTTAGTGTACTCGTCAACCGCATTTGCCAACTACTACCTAATCGCACACTAACCAATTGTTCACGCCAGTCCACGTACCGAGACCTCTCGCTTTCACACAACGAACTCTCGAGAGGCTCTCGGCGAGCAGAAAACGGGAAGCAAGTGAGCGAAGCCACGTCCACTAAACCCAGCGTCTATTCGCTGCTATCGTATGTTAAGCGACCACAACTTAATAGTAGCCTTTAGAACATCGAGTCACCGAATCGGGAATATATTATGTTCCTCCCTTGGCCGGTTGTTCCCAGCCTGAGGGTATATTCAAGAACGGAGCCGCCATCACAATGGAGCAGGCTCGGTGATCGGCGACGTAGCCATCGAGCTGCTATAACGTCGACGACGATTACGATGACGACCGCGATAACGGCGACATTGGCGTGGCAACGTTAATCGGTTGATTGGGGTCGTCGATGGCCGACGTCAACAATCGGTCGAGTTCTATTCGTTCCCGTTTTCCCTCGGCTGGTCGATCGGCTGCTTTAAAGGCGAACAGACCAAAGGAACAGGGTTAACAGGAGAACGATCGAGGTACTTCGTTTCAACCCCTTTTTCTACGACGCTTATACCACCCTTCGATAAAAAAGACTATTTATGGGTCATTGACTCGTGAATTAATTAATGTTGGAATTGAATTGTGACTATGTCTGTAAAAGTATTGAATGTCTTCTGAGAATCTGTAGAATATTTTTAGTTGAGTGCACAAGGGTGGTTTTCATTACGCTCTCTATTGTTTTATAAGCTAATTTAAGGTCAGATTTGAATAGCAGCATTTTAGCTGCATCCCTTTGCACTTAAGTACTAAAGTGTTTAAATAAAAAACAAATTAAAGTAATGGCAGCTAGAAGGAAACATGCTTTCAAAAGTGCTATAAAGGAAACCTCGTTTGACTATCATTTATCCTGTGCTGCGAACTATTTCCCACGAAGGAATAATTTCTTACGAGAGGCTGCCTTTTAAAATACGGGGCGTGTAAGATATTAGAATTTCATACAGATTAAATTGAATCTCTGAAGACTCATTGAGGGTTCCAGATAAAAAGGAAGTTAAATGAAACCTCGTCCATCACATTCTTAACACATGCCATGAATAATTCATAAAACACCATTATTTAATATTTCCATAAAAATACTATCCCGTTTAAATAGTTTCTTTGCGATATTAAAATAGTATCGAACTCGATTCAACCTCCGTATAATAATTATTATTACTGTTAAAAGCGTCTTGTGAATAAGTTTGTTTATTTTTTATTTGATACTGAAAGACAGTTCATACGCGACAAACCAACATTTTCCATCGAAACGAATGTATGCAACCCATCCGCGAAACAGCGCGCCGTCTACCTTAATTTACCAGGTGCTACGTTTTTTTAATTCGATCGTACGACTCGTTTCCCGCGTCGAACAAATTCTGTGAGCCATCTATTGACACGACGAGTACATCTGGAAACTCTATTGTAAACGTGAACGAAAATATTTGCCAACGTCGTCGCCTGTCGACGCTCGCAGATTGCGTTTCGACGCCGCTGCAGTTTTGATCGGCGTACGGATACAAATTTTTCTTAATTAATTTTTCCAACAGACGAACATTTTTGGTGCGTACCTTGAATCATTTCTCAATATATTTTTTAAGTATTTTAATTGCATCGTGTTACATTGTACAAATTTTATGAGTAAATTCGTGACAGTGCAACAATTGTAGAAATATTTTTCTTTCACACAAGGTCACTTATAAATAAATTTCGATTGTATTGTATAACGTTGCATTTGACTACTATTTATAAGAAAATAATATACTCGAGGCACTTGCAACAAGGAACGGCTTCCAAGTAGCGATGTAACTTTCTCAAGATTAATGAAAAGAGTGAATTAATATTAGAAGGAAAACGTCCAAGTGAGTATTTCCGGATATCCGTGTTCGCCTCGTGACAAGGAAATCGAACGAACTGACGACAACCTGAATGTCAATAACTCAATAAAAAATTTAATAAGGCATCCAAGAGAATTGCAAGATAGAAGATTCCAGGGCGTTTAATAAAATTTTTATTGCCTCGCGACCCACGGAGCGGAAGAGGATGTTTAAACGCGAATGAGTTCGTGAATAAGACTCGAGAATTACTTTCTTCGTGTTTCGCTCGTTTGTGTAAATGTTTGTTATCTCACTTTCGCAAGGGATTGACGCTTGATGAACTTGTTGAACTTGTTGTTACATTCACTTGTTGAACTTATTTAATAGGTTCTCTTTAAACGGCAACAAGATTTTTCCTGCTAATATGAATGAAAAAATACTTTTCCACTTTGGAATCCGAGGCTTCGTTGTGGAGATATAAGCAATTGATGTGCTTGAAGCATAGTGCTAGCGAACGCGCTTGCACAATCGCGCGAACAGCTGACTAGGGATATAAAATGGTGCGCGCCAAAATCATATAGAAAACTTTAACTGGTTGTATTAAAGTAACGAAGACTCAGATTGCAAAATAGTAAAGGACTTTTCGATTCCTTTTTCAACGAGGAATCAGAATCGCACATTCATGTTCATCCTGTTTCAAATGAACATTCTATTTATGATGATATTATACTAACTGTAACTAACATTTGTACATAAAATTTCCATGGAATTAATATGCTAAATGTTCTCGAACATTTCCCGACGAGTTGAAATTTCGAATTCAGAGCACAGGGACTATCCCTTCAACTCAATACAATCCGAATCTACGCCGTGCCTGTATTCTGGATGAGGTTAATCCGATACAGAGAGAAACAAGCCCTCATTCGAGTAAATATTATTTCAGAGCGGGTGTTTCATACCCTGCGATCTAATATCTCCCGCACGATGCGCTTCCACGCGAGAAACGTGGCTTGAGAAATTACGTGCGCAACTTCGACGACTCGGCAACCTTCTAAGCGAGTCGAGAAGTTCTGGGAGAGGTGAGAACGCGCGACATTACCAACGCAGATTCGTCGTTTGAAGTTCGACGGGAAGTTACGATCGTTCGGAATCTTCGGAAGTAAAGAGACGTGTCCGATAACTTTCCTCGACCCTCTCGCCCTTCGACTCCTTTGCGGAACTCCCCGAGGGATCTGCAACAAGGAAAAAAAAACGAAGGAAAGAAAATTACGGACCAGAACGTCGAAGAGGCGCTGCTTGCCAGGACACGAGTCGAACATGGCGAACCGTATAATTGAAAGTAGCCCGGGTGGCAATTTCTGGCGGGGTTGATGAATAATTCAAAATAAGGAAGACGCGTTGAAAGAGGACATCCTTGTGCTCCGACAAAATAATTCCGTGTCGTCCCTGAAACTAACT